AAACCGTTTAAGGGTATGAATTAGTGGAAAATTATTTTTCCTTGTATATTGATGAGTCTCCGCTAGAGGGAGTATGATTTTGCACGAGATTTTAAGAGATTGGCGGGTTATAGTAGTTATTTATCGTTGAGAGAGCCTACCAGTAAACACGTAAATTAATTTTCGAATTTAATTATTTTCAGTTCGTTTTGATTATGAAAAATAGCATGTATATTTTGGAAAAGATGTAAATTAAATATTTTGAAACAGTATCATGTGATTAAATATTTCAAACATTTTGGCATTATGAATTATATATTTAAATATATGATATGTCATCGTGATATGTGAAATGTTTGTTGATTTCATTTATTTATTTATATATAGTTTATTTTGCTCTCTCAAGCGCTCTGAACAAATTAAACATTTAAATTGTAATTGATTCTTGTTGTTTTTGGAGGCGAGGTGTTATAAGTGAATGTTCTAAAATTAACAAAGGCATTATTAAGATACATATTTAAATCTTTGTTTTATTTGTAACGGTATTTAAATACGGTTACACATGAGCGGCAAACAAATTTGATTTAGACTTCGAAATGAATGATTCAAGTAAGATCGGTTTACAAAGAATTAACCAAGTAATATTATTTTTATTTCTCTGCATGACTTTTTACTTAGTTCTTGATTTGATGCTTATATAACTGTATTACAAAAATTCTTACGTAGATTTTGGTTGACTGAGTTGAGCAAACTTTTAAGCTCACCTGAGCATGCTCAGGGTGAGCTTTTAGGATCGATGATTGTCCGTCGTCCGTCGTCCGTTCACATTTTGTTGTTAACACTCTAGCGGTCGCATTTTTGCCTCAATCATCATCAAACTTGGTCATTGATAGCTCGGATGAGTTCGAACATGGGTCATCTCGGATGAAAAACTAGGTCACAAGAGCTAAAAATAGAAAAACCTTGTTAACACTCTAGAGGTCACATTTTTGCCTCAATCATCATCAAACTTGATCAGGATGTTTGTCTAGGTGATAGCTCGGATGAGTTTGAACATTGGTCATCTCGGATGAAAAAGTAGGTCACTGGATCTAAAAAAAGAGAGAACCTTGTTGACCCCTCTAGCGATCACATTTTGCATCAATCATCATCAAACTTGGTCAGGATGTTTGTCTAGGTGATAGCTCAGATGAGTTCGAACGATGGTTATCTCGGATGAAAAAGTAGGTCCACCGGAGTTAAAAATAGAAAAAGACCTTGTTAACACTCCAGCGGTCACATTTTTGCTCAATCATCATCAAATTTGGTCAGGATGCTATCTAGTTGATAGCTCGGATGAGTTCGAACACGGGTCATCTCGGATAAAAAGCTAGGTCACCCAAGAGCTTAAAAATAGAAAAACCTTGTTAACACTCTAGAGGTCACATTTTCTGCCTCAATCATCATCAAATTTGATCAGGATGTTTGTCTAGGTGATAGCTCGTATGAGTTCGAACAATGGGTCATCTCGGATGAAAAAGTGGGTCACAGGAGCTAAAAATTGAAAAACCTTGTTAACACTCTAGCGGTCACATTTTTGCTCCAATCATCATCAAACTTGGTCAGGATGCTTATTTAGTTGATAGCTCGGATGAGTTTGAACATGGGTCATTTCGAATGAAAAACTAGGTCACAAGAGCTAAAAATAGAAAAACCTTGTTAACACTCTAGCGGTCACATTTTTGTCTCAATCATCATCAAACTTAGTCAGGATGTTTGTCTATGTGAAAGCTCGGATGAGTTTGAACATGGGTCATCTCGGATGAAAAAGTAGGTCACTTGAGCTAAAAATAGAAAAACTTTGTTAACACTCTAGCGGTCACATTTTTGCATCAATCATCAAACTTGGTCAAGATGCTTGTCTAGGTGATAGCTTGAATGAGTTCGAACATGGGTAATCCTGGATGAAAAACTAGGTCACCTGAAACACTCTAGTTGCTACTGTTTTGATTCAAATGTACTGGAAATTGGTCTGAAAGTTTGTTTTGATGATTTCTAGGTCAAGTTTGAATATGGGTCATCTGGGTAAAATACTAGGTCACACTGCTCAAATATGGATAATCCTTGTTAACACTGTAGTGGTCACATTTTTGACTCACCTGTCATGAGACTTGGTCAGAATGCTTGTCTAGGTAATTGTTTGGATGAGTTTGACGGGTCAGGTGAGCGATCTAGGGCCATCATGGCCCTCTTGTTATTTTAACTTATCGCTGTAGATAACGAGTCGTCCAATTTGCAAAACACCAAGGAAGATATACAGTTACTCGGGGCTACTGGGTGTGATCCAGATGAAAGTCCCAGTGATGATCCGTCTAGTGATGATGATGACAGTAACGGTAACAATAAGGAGCGCTATGAGAAAAAGAAAAAAGACAAAAGAACATGGAAGATAGGTATGTTGTTTTCATAATTGGTTCAACATGAAAATAGTTTTCGTCGGATATACCATAATAATAATAATAATCCATTATTACATGTGTATTATCAAAACTTGTTAACAAATATGGTGAAAAAGGTCAACTCCTTGAACAGTCAATGTATATAATTTTAAGCAAACAAATATGTTAAACACAAAGTGATGCAAAGCATTGCGCAATAGCTACAAAGCGGCTTTAGGGAATTTAGAACAGTATAGAGTATATTCCACATAAATAGATAAATGAATAAGAAGAATTATGTAAAATTGTACATTAATATCATATACTTAGTCCGTCATTTGACTCTTCATGAGAAAAAGCAATTATTATAAACAGTCGCTACACAAAATATGTACAATGTATTCGAGTATGATTATTTACACAGCCTAAGGAAGGTCGGTAGTTTTTTTCATGTGCCAATCCGTGGTCCGAGCATGAAATAGTGCACGAAGGGGCACCTTAGGCCCCCTGTACAAAAACCTTAACAGTATCGATGAGACAACAAAATAAGCAAGGAATGAATTTTGGGTATATTCACTATTCTAAGTAAAAATAAAAAGAATAACTTTGTTCTTGCAATCTTATGCAATATATTTTTTAATAAAAATCAAAAAGTCATAAAGTCAAGTGAAATAGTAAATACGTTCTACTCTTCAGCTTCCATATTTTGACATGAATTTTTTGATATCATATGATGAAATGCTTATTGTCTCCCCTACAGATAAAGATGCATGGCTCAAGTGTATCAAGGAAGGAGGCGATTTTGAACAGCAGGCGGAAAGTTTATTAAGTGAAAGAAAATTGCCAGATCAAATTGCGCTGAACGCGATAAGATCAAAGTACGCACATTATTCCTCAGTTATTTCTAAAATTTGCGATAAGGTATGCGTTTATATCAAGAAGAAGTCAGAAAACATTGCACATGTTTGGGCTGCTACAATTTATTCAAAGGATTCCTTGCCTAGTGATAATGACATTGTTTTCGTTGTACTGACAACAGATACAACAGTTCAAATAAACGAAGAAAATTTTTTAATATATCAAAGACATTTCTTGCAAGTCGATGATACCGACCTGAACAAAGAAATAGAAATAATGGAATACAATAATCTGCCAACCTCTGAAGAAATTGATGAACTTGAGAAATGTTTGAAAGAAAATGCAAAATCGTTAATGAATGACCATAGCAACCTTACTAGGGTGACAGCAAGTTGGTTCAGAACAGATAGTAATGATACAGAACACCTATCATTAAGAAAATTAAGAAAAGAATTGTGTATTGCACTCTATGTCCACATTAAAGGATATATACCAGTGGGTGAGAAATATTTCCCAGCTGAAATTGGAGGATTTCCAGTGGTAGTCCGAGAGGGCATTTTTACACTTTGTAGAGGTTCAAAAGAGTATCATGAAAATGTGAAGATGGGTTGTGAAATCAGTGCAGAAATGTTTGGTACTCTTGGGGCATTCGTAGAATTTAAAGATGATAATCATTTATATGGGCTCACGTGTGCACATGTTGTATTTGGTCGTAAAAAATTTGAGATTTTGCTTCAAAACGGAGTATTTAAAGATGTTATAGATGTTTGGCAACCTGCAGCCCATAATGCAAATTGTCAACCTCTTGGCAAAACAGTGTTGGAAGTTTATAAAAGTGGAGGAAATGGCATTGCAGGAATGGAGTTTGCGCTGATAAAAATCAGAACAGAAGGCCTACTGAAGGCACATTCCCCGATGACTCTGATTATTTGTCAGCAGGTACTCTGAGCAATAATAAGTCCCCTAGCTGTTAACCGGCGGGTACTTAAGGTTTACCTTGCGTCCGTCCATCCGTCCGTCCACAAAATTGGAACCTGATTTAACGCAAAAATACGGAAAATATGCCTAGACTTGATATTATTCTCGTCTTTTTATCTTCCTATGTTGAAAATTTAGGTTTCTAGGGCAACAAATAGACTCAAAAGATGGCAAATAAAACAATAGTTGAGATTTTTTCAAAAAGTACTGAAAATATTTAGTATTTTATCATTAATGGAATTTAATTCAGTATCAGGAGATAAGTTAGATATCAAGTGCATCTCGTGGGTGAAAATGCCTGATTGACAATCATGTGTCGAACCGGTAACAAGATTTTTCTATTTTTAGCCCCTGTGACCTAGTTTTTGACCGGAGATTACTAATATTAAAATTTGACCTATGAATTATCCAAAAAACCTTCTGATCATTTTTAGGATGTTTGGGACAAAAGTGCAGCCACAAGAATGTTAACAAGATTTTTTTCTATCTTTAGCTCCCTTCACATAGTTTTTGACCCGAGACCACCCATATTCAAACTTAATCAAGAAATTATTAGATCAAACTTCGTGACCAATTTCCAGAATATTACAATCAAAACTGCAGCCCGCCATCTGTAATACAACCCGCTTTTCAAACAGGTGCATAAAAATTGGAGAGTGTTCATTTCAACAACTAGATTTCAATACAATTTTAATAAAGATAAAATGTTGGAAAAGACCTAATTGAATACTATTTTACATTGTAACAAATGGGAGATGGATCACAGAATGAGAAATATTATCTAAAATTTAACATAATGTTTTCACAAAATAAAGATAGTTTTAGTAGGGTTTGTATCACAACTTTTCATTAATCTGTCAATTTAAAAGACCGGGGTGAATATAAAAACTGGAAAAGAGAGATTTACGTCTGATATCATTTAAGTACGAACATTTAAAAAGTAGTGAAATTCATCACAAATATTTTGATACGGACATCTGGAACATGGTCTATTTGGGATCAATTGCCAAATTTCAGCCTTTTTCAATTTGTAAAAGGTGATTCATTGTTCGAAATTTACATTAATATTTGCCTTTGTCAAACGGAAGTACATCCAGATAGTTTTCAAAACACTATTTTCATACACAAAGCACTTACAATATGTATCAATAGTACTATTCCAATTTGTAAAAGATAATCATGCAGACTTAACTTCACAATAATTTTAAAGTGATTAATATTATGTACTTTCTGTAGATAAAAATATTCTGATATACCAAGGTTATTAAACGTTTCTTCACAAATGTTATCCATTTAGAATTAACAATATTCCTACGGAAAAAGACAACATTGTTTTGCACAGAAGTTTACATATCTTATTTTCCTCAGCATTAATAATTTTATTCCAGAAAAACAAAACTCTTGCTTTCACTTGCAAGACTTATGGAAATATGCCATATTCACTATTGACTATACAATTAGGCGTAAAAGATTTTAAATTCAAAATCAACTAACAAGAAAGCAATGAAATTTCTCTAAAAATTGAACTTGTTCAGTCCCAAAACTTCAATTCCATGAAGAAAGATTGGTTCAACCATAGAATTAAATAACTTCTTTTGCAAAGAAATTGGTAGACATAATTAACGGGAATTTTGGATAACAAAAGAATATTGGTCTCCTAGCATTATCAACAAGAGTTGGTTTTTATTTCTAACATTTACATTACACTTAAATAAACTCCAAAAGAGAACTCCAAAGATGTATTATGTAATATGATGTGGTCTTGTATGTGAGTATAACACAAGTAGACAACATAATATTATAACTCTAATGAAGAAATAAGAGACACACGTGTGTTCTATGACTACAAGTTTAATACTGGAGATAAACTCTTAACAAAAGCTGCTTTACTACTTTCTAAGCATGCGCATGTATACACTTATATAGACATTCTCATATTTCTATTTCAAGCTTTCCACCATTATAGATAAAGTTTAAATCATCCGTAGTTTTTGACTTACTTAAAATCATTATTTTAGTCTTAGCTTCATTAGCAACAATATTCTATGTATTACATTAATCAGTTTTGCTTTCTGCTAAAAGTATTGTATCATCAGCATATAACAAAACAAGAATCTGTGTTTGATAAACACAAATGCCCCCGCGCTCACTTTGTCAATAATTTAACTTTAGAGAGTGAAGTAGCTAATTTGTATGGAAGAAAACCAATCACATGTAGAAATATGTAATTGGCACCCTTGTCCTTGACCAACTGACCCCTACCTCTATCAAAAGGAAGAATATCATGCAAGTTATTTTCCTACCAAATATGAAATAAATCTGTAAATAAACAAGAGCGATCAGTAATCACATGTGTCGCCTCATGATGGCCAATTTCATGTTGGGACAAAGTTTGTGACAGACGGACAGACAGACGGACAGTGCACAACTAGACTTGGTACTTATCATTCCTGTAAAGTTTGGATAAAATTGCACCAGTAGTTTATGAGGAGTAGTCCGGACAAGCTTTTGCGTATCTGGCAACACACAGAAAAAACACCTTTTTATCAAACGGCCATAACTCGGCCATAAATCATTCAACCGGAAAACCCGTGCAATATGCGCAAGGACTTGAGCTACAGATCAATCCTGTAAAGTTTCATTGAAATTGTTTTAGTGGTATAAGAGAAGTAGTCCGGACAAACTTTAAAAATAAAAATTATTAAAGGGCCATAACTCTGACAAAAATCATTGAACCGGAAAATGCTGATAATATGCACAACTACCCTTGGTACTGATTATTCCTGTATAGTTTAGATGAAATTGCACCAGTAGTTTATGAGGAGTAGTCCGGACAAGCTTTTGTGTATCTGGCAACACACAGAAAAATACACCTTTTTTATCAAAGGGCCATAACTCGGCCAAAAATCATTCAATCGGAAAACCCTTGCAATATGCGCAAGGACTTGAGCTACAGATCAATCCTGTAAAGTTTCATTGAAATTGCTTTAGTGGTATAAGAGAAGTAGTCCGGACAAACTTTTAAATTAAAAATTATTAAAGGGCCATAACTCTGCCAAAAATCATTGAACCGGAAAATGCTGACAATATGCACAACTAGACTTGGTACTGATTATTCCTGTAAAGTTTGGATGAAATTGCACCAGTAGTTTATGAGGAGTAATCCGGACAAGTTTTGTGACGGACAGACGGACAGACAGACGGACAGACAGACGACGGAGAAGTGATCCCTATATGTCGCCACTACTCCGTAGAGGCGACACAATAAAGGATGTATGGGCAAAAGTGTAAAAAATCTATTTTTAGCACTGGTGACCTTGACCCAACTGACCCCATACTCCATCCAAAGGAAGAATATCATGCAACTTATTTTCCTACCAAATATGAAATAAATCTGTCAATATATAAAGGCTGTATGGGCAAAAGTGTAGAAATCTATTTTTAGTTCTGTTGACCTTGACCCAACTGACTCAAAACTCCATCAAAAGGAAGAATACCGTGAAAGTTATCTCCCTACCAATTATAATACAAATCTGTCAATAAATAAAGGCTGTATGAGCAAAAGTGTTAAAATCTATTTTTAACACTTGTGACTTTGACCCAACTGACCCCTACCTCCATCCAAATGAGAATACCTCAATTTTATGTTCCTACAAAATATACAAGACATCTGTCAATAGAATAAGGTTAATACACCCGTAAAAGCGTAAAAAATCTATTTTTGACATTGGTGACCTTGACCCAAATGACCCCTTACTAAAGGAAAAGGAAGAGGACCTCCCTTGGTATAACTATATTAAACATGAAAGACATTAACTTAAAAATAAAGGCTGTATGAGCAGAAATGTTTAAATTTGTTATTTTACACAAGTGACCTTGACCTTTACCTAGAGACGCCTAACACCACAAAAAATTAGAGGACCGTTAAAAGTATCCACCTACCAAATATGAAAGATATCATTAAATAAATTAAGTAGTTAGGTGAAATATTTTGATAAATCCAACTTGGCAGAATAGGTTAACCATACAAGGCCCTATTTTCAAAGTGATAAAAAGGGAAAGTACTGGGAAAATGGATGGCACATTTATATAACTTGGCAATATCATGAACATTGTATTGATAAGTAAGTGTGAAAATTATTAAGCCATAAGTTCAGATAGAACATAAGATATTTTCAACTTGCCGGTTTAGGTTAACCATTATTCATTTTCTTAGTGCTGAAAAGGGCCATAACTTGGTGCAAGTGGTGACCATAGTTATGTAACTTGCCCAGATCATATATTTTGTATGGATTAGTAAGTGTGTAAATTATGAAGCCATTGGTACAGGTAGAACTTAAGAAAAATCCAACTTGCCGTTCTAGGTAAACCTCGTACGGACAGACGGACGTTCCAACATTTTGGCTTTAGGGACTATTTTCTTTGTTATTTTCTTTGTTTTCTTAAGGGCTACTAGCCCCTAAATCCTTTGATCACGGAATGAACCTATTGTTCTCTTTTGTTCTCTTTACAAAATGTTTGCTCGGACGGACGGACAGACGGACGGCCGGTTCAATTACTATATGCCCGGGGCATAAAAAGTAATTTAACATAATCATCAAGTGTCACTAAGACGTTCACGAGTTGCGTTAGGCATATTGGAAAGTCCTGTGTATTTATTCAATACAAATTCTGACAATTTTTCAAAAAGATAAATAACAAAATTGGTGAAATTTTTTCACCTTGACGCACACCGGGAAACTACTAAAGAAACATGTCAACTCACACAAGATTTAGCCTTACTGTGCATATGGTGGATTATACCAAAGCACTTACCATCAATATTGTGACAATAATGTGTGCCATAAATGAAAATGATTAACAGAAACAAACGCCTTCCTAAAGTCCACAAATGCACAGTTAAGCTTTTTATTACAACTTAAATAATAATAAATTAACATATTTAAGGAAAATATATAATCACTACTAACAGCTTAATCTTCGTGAAGTAAATTGTGACATTCCAAAACACTCATTGGCTCAGACACTTGGAGCTTGGAGTTGCAAACAACTTAAAATCTAAATAAAATGTATATTTTGTCAATCCCAGCAAAGGTACTGACCATATACATGTATATAATTAGAATTTGATATAAGCTTTTTTGAAAAAAAATATTTCAACGATACCTGTTTCAATTTAATTGTGACCTCAATTTTTTCATTTTCTTTTAAATATACTTTTTTGTTGTTGTTGTGATTGTTGTTGTTGTTGTCGTCGTCGTAAAAAATAACTGATACAAAAATTAACATAAATCGTCAATATTTTTTAAACAAGATAGAAAAGTTTTGTTATTTTTGTATTTGTGTCAAGAATATAGTGTAAACATTTCCTAATGCAATGAAATTTTTGTTACAGGATTTGGGCAAGACTCGCCTTTTGTATTTACTTCAGGAAATGCTAAAAACGCAACAGATATCCCGTTTCAATTAGTGTATAAATACGGTTCTGAAAGCAAACTCACACAAGGGGTGTGTCGAGTAAATGGTGCATCAGTTCGACCATTGAAATTTGAAGACAACATTCTGAATACTGAATTAGTTTTGCACGATCAGATCGAAATAATGAATGTAGAAACACAATTTGCTGTAAATGGTGATTCAGGTGCACTTGTTTTTGTTAAAGATGAAAACAAAGAGCTTACTGCGTTAGGAATGTTTGAAGGGAATTTCAAGGGGACGAGCATATATGTCTGTTCGCCAATCTACGATATCCTTAACGAAATAAGCCGGATTTGTAAAAAACAGTGCTGGTTAAAAAGATTTGTACCATCTGATTCACGAATAAATGAGCCGCGGATACATTCTCAGCTGCATGATACAGTAATGTCACTTTCCGGAAGTGTGTCGCAACTACATGGAAGATTAGAATCTCTTGATCAAGGTTTTGCTCAAGATTTAGCAAAACATAAACAAGAAATATCAAATGAACTAAAAAAGCAACATGACGAACATCTAAAAAGTGCTCTTGAAAGAGAAGAACTTAAGAATCAGAATGAAGAATTGAAAAAGCAAGGTGACGAGCACATAAAACAGAGCCAGGAAATAAAGGATCGTCAAAAAAGACAAGAAAAGCAAAGTGAAGAACTTAAGGAGGAACTAAGAAGGCAAGGTGATGAGCATGTAAAACATAGCCAGGAAATAAAGGAACGTCAAGAAAGGCAAGAAAAGCAAAGTGAAGAACTTAAGGAGGAACTAAGAAGGCAAGGTGATGAGCATGTAAAACATAGCCAGGAAATAAAGGATCGTCAAGAAAGGCAAGAAGCACAAAGCGAAGAACTTAAAGAGGAACTAAGGAGACAAGGTGATGAGCATGTAAAACAGAGCCAGGAAATTAAAGAAGGACAAGAAAGACAAGGCAAAGAACTAAAAGATGAATTAAAAAAGCAGATGGAACAAATAGTGATGCTATTGAAAAAAGAACAATCGTTATAAATTGTATATTTGCCCTTTTAATAAAAAGTTTCAATACACATTTTCGATAAGTTAAAATTGAAATGAATAATATAATTACGTATAAGTTTTTCAAAAATATGATATGTGAATAGAATTAATTATACGAGAAAAACGTCAAGTTACAACAAAATAGTTATGAAAGTGACATTATGATGACTACAATCGTTCAAAATTTAGCTTTATATTTATTTATATTAAGACTAATACGTTATGCAATTTTATTATGTTAATTATTAATTATAACAAGTTTTTTATGAAAAAAAAGATATATCTTTTGAAGAAGATAACCGACGTTAAAAAGGAGCTCCACTGAGGTCCAGAAGCCTAAAATGAAGTAAAATTTGGAATTCTTGCACAGATCAACAGGTTCACTGAAAATGGGAAAAAATATGCAAGACATATAATTGAGAAACATGCTCAAAATTAATGAACAAAAATCCATTTTGAGCGGTTCTTGTCTTGTTCTTCATTTTTGGGCCATGTTGCGCTATAAAGGTATTATTTAGGAAAAACTGAGTAAGCAAATGATATAAAATTATGTACATAAGTTATTGGTCAAAACATTAATCAAATGGAACGGTAATCTTGTAAAATGTTTAAAGCTTCTTCTCGTCAATAGAAAACCCTCAGTGGAGTCCCTTTTATTCAGTAAATGTTAATTGCCTTATAGATTCGAAATATTGTCAAAGTCAATAATGAAATGAATGATTTATTAATGGTAATTAGCTTAATGGTCTCAATCTTTAAGGTGAATTATACTTTAGAAATATTTAAATATATATTATATATACATGTTTATTGTTTAACTTTTAACTGAATCACAATTTAACCGTTATTGACCGCCCGATGATAGATCTATGTTACACGTGAGGGAGCTCGCTGATACATGTATCCAGAGGTTGCATGAAGGTGCAAAACGGCTGAGTGATTCACAATCCTCAAATTTGATATATACTATATAAGTATGACCTTACCTTTGGATTTAATACTTTACTCTTAATCATGTCTTACACATTTATGCCAAAATATTGTAAAATCCATCTAGGATTGGCAGAATTGTTGACCGTATACAACCATCAATGCACTTTAATAAAAAAAAATCTCATCATGACTTTGCAGTACAAGTGAGACCTTGACCTTTGACTTAGGGACCTAATTCTTGTGCACAACACATTGCCAATGTGCCAAACACATTTATGCAAAATAATTTTAAATCCATCTAGGAATGACAGACTTGTTGATCCAACAGCAAGATCACTCTACTTTTATAAAAAATCAAAGCATGATTTTTGATCAGTATGTGTGACCTTGGTCTTTATTTTTGCGCTCTTTACATTGTCATTATGTCTAACACATTTATGCATATCTCTTAACTCCATCTACCAATGACAGAATGGTTGATCAGACACGATTATTCAAATTCCTTTGAAGTCAGAGTATGACTGTAACCTTTCCGCTTCAAATCTAGATGTCGGCCATCACACATTGCCCAAATGTGCTACACATTTATACAAAATTATTTTAAAATCAATCCATAAACGAAGAAGTTATTGATTGCACACAGTTCAGACGAAAGGACAGCGGGACAGGCGGAAAGACGGATGCTACAAAATTGATATGCCCTCATTTTTGGAGACATATTTAACAAGGGGCAGGACGTGAAGTGGTTGCACACTAGGTTCAAGCGAGCGAATTGGTTGCAAACTTGACAAAATGGCGAATACGGCGTGATATTTTGAAACGGGTGAACGAATTTTTGCCAGGCAAGTGGGGTTCTTTGTTATTTTGAAGTTCATTAGTATGTCTATTCCATAATGCAATATATATGCCACACTCACTAATTGCCATTGAAAATAGGTTAATAAATATAACCTTCTACACTCCCTTTTCAAAGTTTTACTATGGATTTCAATAGAATGAGAATAAGTTTGCAACCAAAAATGCTTGAAGTATAAGTCTGCAACCAAAATGTGCTTGAACAAGATATTTTAGTGTATTGAACGTTATCTTCGGACTTGCGAACTAAACCATTTATACAGCATTGACAGAAACATATTTTGTTATTGTTAAATGCAGTTCAAAACTTACAAATTCGAATAAATTAGGAGAAAAACCGACCAGAACAGTCACATTTCAAATTTCAAAATATCTACATGATCAGTTTATATCTTCAATAAGTTCGTCAAAACAGAATCTAGGATGCTGAAACCTTTAACCGAGTGTGGCATATATATTGCATTGTGGAATAGACATACTAATGAACTTCAAAATAACAAAGAACCCCACTTGCCTGTCAAAAATTCGTTCACCCGTTTCAAAAAATCACGCCGTGTTCGCCATTTTGTCAAGTTTGCAACTATTTCTCTCGCTTGAACCAAGTGTGCAACCACTTCACGTCCTGCCCCTTGTATAAAAAGAGGTGACCTACGTACGTTTGTCACAAAATACGTTTACTTCTTAAAGGGAGGGTGCATAGGAAACCCAAGTTTGAGAAACTTTAAATGGACATTGCCCTTAGCCAGGAGATGGCCTCTATTCATTTTGTGGATATTATGTCAAATACCAAGGTCATAGTTATACTGTGTGAAATATTTTTCCAGTCAGTAACTTTAGAAGAAATGAACATTTGATATGTTTAAAAAGGACATTTCCCGTTTGTACGCAGATTTTACATCATGCCAAACACCAATCTCAGCTTGATATAAAATCTCTGTCTTACCAATAATGAGAGGTTCTTCAGTCAATAGTTTATGATTTGCGTGTTTGTTATAAACGCAGATTTTAAAACATGAATAAAGATCAACAAGGAAAAGGCAACGTTCACAGGACGCAGCCCCGACACACCAAAGTAGGGCACCCAGAAGGCACCAAACCAAAACCTGAAGTGGACATAAGGGCGGTGAAAGGAGAGGGACATGTAATGTGTGAAATAATATAAACTAAAACGGGCCCATATGGGAATTAAAGGGATAAGGGCTGTAAGGGTGAAAAGGGAAGGGGGTGTGAGAAAATACCTACCGTAAACGACAATCCAACAAGATAGACATCACAAAACATGTAAACATTCAAAAACAAGTAACAACACAGACATGAAAAAAACGTGAAGGAACGCAGACGGGTACCGCCTTGGAACGGTCAGTGATAGTTAAACCACTGGGGAGTTTAAACCAGTTTTAGGCGCGCCAAACCTCATTCTTAGCCCCAATATGTTCCTGAATGACTTGAAAGTGTAAATAAAATTAATTCCCGCCAAGTGAAATTCTAACAATGGTCATTGTTACATTAGACGAAATAAATAAAACTCATACAAAATTATTTAAATATGTAGGAAAAGGTAAAGCCTAATGACCATTACCAAAGTACTCGATGCCTTAAAGGAAGGCAGAGCAACAAGAAAATCACCTACAAGGGCCCGACGAAGCAAGACAGAAGACGAACATTAAGATAATTCAGTCCCTAAAGGCTTAAAGAACTGTCCATCATAGAGGCTCCCACTTAGTCCGTCATATGTAATCAAAGGAGGAAAGCGTAGCGTCAAACTGTAAAAGGGTTGAACACCAAGCATGCGGTATGCCTTAAAATAATTGGGTCATAACCTCTTTTAATAAACCGTTCGATAATTTTAGTGAAGACGGCAGAAAAATTACTATGACCCATGATCTTACGAAGTTTGTAAACCACATCTCCATAGAAATCAGGCTTGCTAATATCTTGTCGTAAAAAGGGTTTTCAAATTACAATTAAATTTTAAAACTAAATCTGAATTACGATGGTAAAACTTAGTAAAATACTTATGCAATTTATGATAGCGATAACCTTGTTTAAGAAGTTTGTTAGTAATAATAAATTGCGTTCATTAAAATCATCAACACGACGCCCTAGCAAATCTAATTAATTGATAAATATACACCCCATATGATGTAGCAGAGGTACATCTCCATCTAAATATGGATAGTTTACAATATTAAAATCAAAATCATCTTTTTCATCGTAGATTTAAGTTACGATAGTATTGTTTAATGATAGAAATATTTTAATCTAAAAAAGATGTAATAACGTCTGAAGAGTTAGTTTTATTGTGCCCCCACGTTAGTGGCGGGCATTTAGATTTACCCTTGTCCGTCCGTCCGTCCTTCCGTCCTTCCTTCCATCCGTCTGTCCGTTCACTTTTGTGTCGCACGTAACTCAAAAAGTATTTGACCTAGAGTCATGAAACTTTACAGGAATGTTGATCAGCATGTGTAGTTGTGCACCTGGGTATTTTCGTCTGGATATTTTTAGTATTTTCAGAGTAATTGTCCTTGACTTAGTAAAATTTTGCAATTTTTAACTTGTGTCGCATGTAACTCAAAAAGTATTTGACCTACAGTCATGAAACTTTACAGGAATGTTGATCAGCATGTGTAGTTGTGCACCTGGGTATTTTCGTGTGCATATTTTTAGTATTTTCAGAGTTATTGCCCTTGACTTAGTAAACTTTTGCAATTTTCAACTTGTGTCGCACATAACTCAAAAAGTATTTGACCTAGAGTCATGAAACTGTACAGGAATGTTGATCAGCATGTGTAGTTGTGCACCTGGGTATTTTCGTCTGGAAAAAAATTAGCATTTTCAGAGTTATTGCCCTTGACTTAGTAAAATTTGGCAATTTTCGACATGTGTCGCACGTAACTCAAAAAGTATTTGACCTAGAGTCATGTAACTTTACAGGAATATTGATCAGCATGTGCAGTTGTGCAACAGGTATTTTCGTCTGGATTTATTTAGTATTTTTAGAGTTATTGCCCTTCACTTAGAAAATTTTTGCAATTTTCAACTTGTGTCGCAAGTTTCTCAAAAAGGATTTGACATAGTCATTAAACCTTATGGGCAGGTTGCTCAGCATATTTTAGATTTGCAACTGGGGTTTCGCTTGTGGATTTATCCAGTATTTGTAGAGTTATTTCCCTTGACTTAGTTAAAAGATTGCCAGAACAGTG